AGGTTTCACAAAGCAATAACCTCATATGACTTCCAAATGATAGAGGAAGACCACTACGTCTACATTAAGCGGTTTGAGGGTAATTTTGTCATATTATCCTTATATCTAGATGATATACTATTAGCCAGAAATAGTCTAGATTTGGTGATGGCTATTAAAGAATGACTTTCATCGAATTTTGAGATGAAAGATATGGGCGAAGCAAGTATATACTTGGAGTTAAGATCCAAAGAAATCATTCAAAATGAATCCTCTCTCTTTCACAAGAGAATTAGATCAACAAGATTCTTGAACGATTTAACATGAAAGATTGCAATCCCATGAGTATCCCGGTTGCTACTGGAGTGGCCTTGAGTCCTGACATGTATCCCAAAACCGAGTCTGACAAAAAGAAGAGGGAAAGAGTTCCATATGCCAGTGCTGTTGGTAGTTTGATGTACGCAATGGTGTGTACAAAACCAGATATCTGTTATGCAGTGGGATTGGTAAGCAAATTCCAGTCTAACCCCTGTGAAAAGCATTGGAAAGCACTGAAGAGGATCTTGAGATAATTAAAGGGCACTTCTAATTATGCACTGTGCTACGAAGGAAGCGACTTGCACCTTGTTGGGTACTCCGATGCTGATGTAGGAGGAGATGAAGAACAAATGTCAACTTTAGGATATACCTTCTTGCTAAACAATGGTGCTATATGTTGGAGCAACAAGAAGCAAACGTGTATTGCCTTACATTCAATGGAAGCTGAGTCTGTGGTATGCACCGCAGCAATGCAAGAGGCTTTATGGCTGAAAAGGTTTATAGAACACCTTGGATTTGGAAACAAGAGTACCAATTTGGTGTTAGTACACTGTGACACTACTGCAGCCATGGCCTATACTAAAGATCCTAAGTATCACAGCAAAATGAAGCATATTGACATCAAGTATAATTTTGTTAGAGATTATATAACACAAAAGATTGTTACTGTACAATACATTTCAACCAAATGTATGATAGCAGATCCTCTGACAAAGCCAATAGGCAAAAAAGTTTTTAAAGAACATGTGCAAGCCCTTGGCATGCTTAAAGTGTAATATTTAAACCTCATTAATGAAATTATATTTTTTGTCATCACTTTATGTGTCTGTTCGAAAGTATACAATATCTAGTATGTCGTACAGGTTAAAAAGGTTGGCTCTCTCACACGGGCAACCACCTTTGACACTCGGGTGGAGTAAGCAAAGATGAGACATTTGTGTTCACTAATAAAGCAGCAAAGAATGCTGATATGGTAGGGAAGAAACACAAACTTTATGTCGCCTTGACTAAAATGTAGCAAGTCAAGATGAGATCCACGTTGATAAAGTTGGATCAAAGTTTGGAATCCCACTTCCTTAATACCTGTAGCCAGATAACAAACTCTTCAACATTGACGTCGTAGATATGAGCAGAGTTGAAGAATTTGGGTTTAGATATTGAGTGTATCTAGACTTAAGTCTGTACAGTGTTAATGATAAACGACATGTGCTCTTATAGTGAAGAGTAACACTGTAGCATGTGTTTCATACCATGTGTGCTGAGAGAACCGCAAAAGGAAAGCAAGTGAAAGATCCCTGCTTCGTTGCTGTGTGAGTCCCAGGGAAGGAGCAATCCTCCTATTGATGTCCTTTGACTTTGACAATATCACAGAGATATGTTTCAGTGACTGCTACTTTAGCATGTTTCCTACGGTCATGATAGATACGATCTAAGGTATTATGCTAGGAAAGCGACTGATTCATATCAAAGTAATATTTGGGTGAAAGGAAGATTAACTGCAATATACACATTTGTGCTAGTGTCTGTGACATGTCCTTTATGACATTTTTGTTGTCATAAGTATGGACACTAGACATACGAGGAAGGTAATCTGAGTCAAATATTGACTCAAGAGGGATCAGATTTACCATGAAAAAGTGTATATAGATAAATCTAGGACATCTGAGGCATAATTTTAAAATTCAAGCTACACGAAGGAGTGGTTGACTTGTGCTGGTCCTATAAAGAGGATTTCTAGTATAGGCACCCTACTGAAGATGTCATGCCCACACAGTCATGGTAAAGCACTACATATGAAACTGAGGTGAGAAAAATAGACTAGAGCCATGACATCTAATCCACCAAGTGTGAGTAGGAGATGTAAGAAAATGGGCTAGTCCACCTTGGTGGATTGGACCTAAACCCATTGGGGTTTTGATATAAATAACAAAACATCCGGGTTGAGTACTGCAATTTGCCCTTTTTGTTTTAGACTGGTTAAATAACCGTGGGAATCAATTCAAAAGGGAGGCAGTTTTTTGGTTTCAACATGAACTTAAGAAACCAACCGAAGGGATCAGTTGGCCATACTTCTTTTCAGTCCTTGCATCTTGTTCCTCTAGTTCTCTCTTTTTCTTCCTCCAGAGTGCATCTACTGTGTCTCCAGATCTGAGTTCAATACCGTAATCAGACCTCTGCGTGGTTATCTGATGACGTGGAACACTCCAGGTACGCCCGAAACCCATTAACCACATATAGATAAATCCTATTTTAAATCCACTTGTCCTCTCTATTTCTTGCAAACAATCATTGACAACACACATATATATACGTCCCCCAACTGCTATTTGTCCTTAGATCTACAACTTTCAAATTTCTAAAAGACTCAAAGGGACAAGAAGAAGCTTGTTACCTGAAATATGGGACAACCATGAGTCTGTCTGAACTGTGATATTTCTCCCATTTTTGATACTAGCATTATTGTTTCTTTCAAGCACTTTCCTACCCTCAAGCATGCTATTCCAAATCCAGGAAGCAAAACTGCCTCTCTTTGCATGAAGGAAACCACATCTTTGAAAAAGTCTTGACCCACAGTTGGTTTGATTTTTGAAAAGTTCTCCAACCCAATTTAGCAAAATAGTAATAAATAGGGATGAACATTCAGTTTTTTTAGTTTAGTTTTCAGTGATAATTGAATTAACCGAACAAAGTCAGACACCAAACCAGAATCGGTTAATCAAACTAACTGAAACTGAATTAATCAAAATATTTTGATTTGATTAACGGATTAACCAAAATATATAAATGTGAAAAGTGATTTTAAATTAAAAAAATAAAAAAATACAATCATTAATTAATAAATATTTCATTATTCAATATGATTTATTCTAATAATATTTATTATAACCATATTTATTGAATATAAAAATATATTTAAAGAGCTCACATATACTCACATATATATTTATTATAATAATAATATATATTTTGGTTTTTTAGTTTTAACCAAATTTATTTTTCTAATAACTGAACTAAACACCGAATGGTTAAAAAATAAAAACCAAATATGTAATTGAAAACTGAAATAGTCAAACCGAAATTGAATTCGATTCAGTTCGATTTTCAGTTATGGTTCAGTTTTGCTTAACCCTAGTAACAGATATAAAAGATTAAAAAGTTTCAAAATCTTTATAACCTAGACCTCTACCTAGGTTATCACATACTACCTTTGATTCTTAATATAAAACTAGATAATTAAATTATAAATGATAAAAAAATTAATTAATCATACACATTTGCGTTACTTTGATGAAATCTTTAACATATATGTGCAATCAATATAGAGACTATTTTGAGAAAAAATAGATAAATATATAAAACAAAGTAAGTTAAAGTCTTATATTTAGAACTAAATTGAATCTCCAACTAATTATTGTATTAATGATTAGAGGTAATATTAATTTTTTTGGAGACCCAATGAATTTTTCTCTTATCATTCTAGTTTTTCCACCAGAAAATTAGTGATATTTCTTTCTTTTTTTCATCCAAAGAAATTGGTGATATTTCTATCAAGAGTAGCTTGGGAAATAAATCCCTTTCGTATTGAATGTAATTATACTACCTTCAGACCTTAATATAAGAAGAAGTTTAATATTTAATTTAATTCTAAATATAAGATTTTAATTCACTTTGTTTCTTATATTTATCTATTTTTTTAATATAGTCTTTATAATAATTGTATATGTTAAAACTTCTATCAAATGATAGTTTTAGTTAAGACAAATAATTAGCAAAATTTATTTCAAAAAAAATAACATCTATTTATTATAAATAACTAATTGAATAAAGAGCTAGTATTTATTTTTCTTATTGAAACTCTTTTCTTAGCCTCTTGGCAATACAAAAATACCATCACAAGTTTCATTCTATTTTGCACCTTTTTCTTCATGTAAGACCAAAGACGAACAACAGCTATTTATTATTTTATTAAAAATAAAAATAAAGGGCCAATCATTCATTTTTTCCCCCTAGAAATATATAATTTTTTAAACAAAAGTAAAAGGAAAAATAGGGCTTGTTTGTTTCTGTTTTTTGTTTTTTAATTCTGAGAACAATTTTATGAATTATCTTTTAAAACAAGTTTTGAGATTTCTCCAATTTTTCAAAAAAAAAAAATAGAAAAAAATTTAAAAGTTATTTTAATTTTTTTTAAAAATATATTACTGTTTTTTGTTTTTAAAACAATGAACTGAAAACAAGTTGCTAAACAAGTTTTTTTTTATTTTGAAAAATAAAAATTACTTTCAAAATAAGAAACCAAACATTATTTTCTCTGTTTTTTTTTTTTGGTCCATGAATCAATTTCTCCGATATATTGTTGAGAGTTTTTAACCAAAGAAGTACGAGTACTTTTTTTGTTTTTTTAAATGTTAGATCGTGACCCGTGTTAGTCGCGGAGAGTCCATCGAACGACTAATATCGATGTCTCCACTGTCTTAGGGTGTAACTGTTCCCATCTTACCATTCTGCTGCTTTACCGTCACTTGCCGTTCGCAAAAACATCAAGCGCCAAAATTTCGCGGCGCCTTTGAAAATTTTCAAATTTTCGCAGAAAGGCTAAAGCTTCAAAACGCAATGTTCGAATTCTTTCGTCTTTCCCTCTATCTCTTAGATCTGACTGAAGGTTCCCGAAACACACACGGAAAATTCAAATTTTCAAAGACTTTCTGGAAATTTGAGATTGATACGCTTTAGCCTCAAGCTTCCTTTCTGTTTCACCTCCAACCTTTCATTCCTCTCACTCTCTCCATGACGGAAAGCGACGAATGTTCGAGCTGATTTCTGACTTCGTTTTTGGTTGCTCTGGGAATCATAGTTATACTAATTTGGATGTCTTAGATTCCTCCGGTTGTTTATGCAATTAAGCTCATTTTGGCTTGGGTTGAAACATTTTGCACTAAAGCTTCGGGTGAACTTGTTAATTCTTGTGTTCAGTTGAGCTATTATGGTGCGAGAGCAGAGGGTAGAGTCCTTCTACACCAGGCTACGCGAGTCGGCAATTGCTTCGTCTTCTTCGCCCTTACTCATATTCCCATCGACGTCTGATGTGGACTCGCTCTGCGCATTGAAAATCATCTTCCACGTTCTCGAATCTGATTCGGTCCGATATGCATGTTATCCTGTGTCCTCGTTTCAGGAGATTCACAGATATGCAGGACCCAGTTTAAATTCATCTGACGAGCCCGTTTCCATCCTGTTGATAAATTGGGGGTGCCACAGGGACTTGAGGAAAATTTTGAATCTGGGTCCTTCTGCACGTATTTTCGTGGTTGATAGCCACCGTCCAATTCATCTTCACAATTTAAGCGATGACAATGATCGGGTGGTCGTGCTATATACACGAGATGATGAGCAGCAGGCTGATTTGGCCTATGATTTTGATGTCTCGGCTTTGGCTAATGCTACTGACTTAAATAGTGACAATGAGGAGGCTGAAGAGGAATCTGATAGTGATGACGACAATGACAGTGAAAGTGAAGACGAGGGACATGGGGGTGGATCCAGGAAGCGAAGGCGAGTTTCTCAGGATAATGAACAAGACCCAATTCAGCTTTTCCGAAAGCTGAAAAAGGAATATTATCATATGGGTACATTTCATGGGAAGCCATCTGGGTGCTTGATGTATGAGTTATGCCATTTTCTGCGGAAGAACACAAATGAACTGCTGTGGCTCGCTTGTGTATCTTTGACGGATCAGTTTATTCATGAGAGGCTAAGTGACGAACGATACAAAGATGGGGTTATGGAGCTTGAGCAGCACATCAACAGTTCGGGCAATTTGGATGCGGTAACTTGTGTGACACTGAAAGATGGGACAAAGATCCGGGCCCCTAATTCAACGAGAATCACATACGAAGAGGAACCAAGGCTTATGTTGCTAAAAGAGTGGAATCTGTTTGATTCAATGTTGTGTTCTTCGTACATTGCGACTAAGTTGAAGACTTGGAGCGACAATGGGTTGAAAAAGCTGAATCTTCTGCTAGCCCGGATGGGGTTCGCTCTTGCTGATTGCCGACAGAAGTTTCAATATATGAATATAGAAGTCAAACGCAAAATGAAAGATGAATTTGAGCGATTTCTACCCGAGTATGGGCTGACTGATTTCTATTATCGAAGTTTCTTAAGAATACATGGCTATAATTCAAGGGTGTCTGCAGCAGATGTGGTATATGGTGTGACTGCTCTGCTTGAATCATTTGTGAAATCAGATGGCTCGTGTGCTTCCAAGCAATTTGGTGTAGCTTATGATGCACTGTCCTTGAGCAATCTTGATAAGCTAAAATCTGGAATGCAGCATGCAATCAAGATTCAAAGGGCCATTCTAAGACAAGGAAGCACAGCGATAACCAAGAGTGGCTGTATAAGAAGTGGAAGGAAATTCAGATGGGTAAAAATTGAAGATTCTGCCGACACAAAGTTACTTGGTTACCCCCAAGCTTTGACTAAATTCTGTTATTTTCTTATGGATGCTTTGCGAGAGAAAGGAGCAAGAATGAAGCCTCTGCTATGTGCTTGCTTATCTCAAGAACCTAATAAAATGTTGATTGTAGGTGTTTGTGGGAAGCCTCGTCTCGGTGCAGGTAAAGGAAATGCATTTGGGATTGCATTTAGAAACGCTGCCGAAGAGATTGGAGCAGACTTCTTTCATGAATTGTTTGAATCTTCATGGATTGTTTTAAATGCATCAGCAGTCAATTCCTTCATGGTTAGGTTGACTGAGAGGCTATGATATAGCAGTTCAGCCTAAGATCCTTCAAAGAAGTATGTTCTCTTAGTGCATTTCCAAGCCTGAGATTATTAATAAAATACAGCAGGTGACAACTGATATTGCAAGAAAATATGACTTTGTTGTATTATGATTTATAGACTGTTGAATTATGATTTATGACATCCTTTTTAATCTTTCCAAATGTGTATTCCATAATCCCCGCGTTTCTTCATTTGGCACTCTTGTGAAGCTACTGCTTTAGTTTCAATGATGAAGCTCACAGATCAAGTGCCAAATATTCAATTGAAATTTAAATCAGTAAAATATTTGCTGGTATACAAGTTAATATAGATACAGATGCGCTCAGAGATGCTATTGCTTCAAAGACAGACGGTATTTCTCCAAGCTGCTCTGGGATGGATTACAGCATATGCAAAGGTATGAGTCAATACCTTTTCTGAATATATGAAATCACATGATAATCTATCCAGAAGGGAGCGGATACATGTTTTTATTGAAGTTTAAGATTTTTCCTTTATGAAGGTTAAGACATCTGACCCTGCAAGAACTGTTTGAGCTATACGAGAGAATGTTCAGTTTGCAGTCTTCCCTTTCACTTTAAATATTAAGTTCTTTTGAGTTGTTCCTCGACATCATAACTGTATTAAAAATCATGGTATTTATTTTAGTGCTGTAGACAGATGGCGTACTCACTATCCTTTCTATCATCTGAGTTTGCATGCACATCAATATGCATGTTGTTGTGCATGCTTATAGATAGCAAATTTGCGCACTGCAAAAGGGTTGTATTATTCGTTTCATTCTTGAGATGGTTTTTGTGTAAAATTGTAAGAGTTCTACAAATTTTAAACTAATTAATTTTAAGCATAAGCTATGTAATACTGTAGTTATCTGTAGATTATAGTACGTCGTCCATGGAGTGATGCTTCTATTACTTTATCTATGGATAATTATATAAACATTGTCAAATTGGTACTGGACGAAACTTAGATATTGGTCGTTAATGCTGCTAACTGTCATATTCGAATGCCTCAAATGTGTTGCACTTCTCAAGTGTGCACCGGCATGTGCCCCGTGCACCCTTTTCCGCAGCTAAAAGCTAAACCAGGTAGGCCTTTGTTGTCACCGGTTTTGAAATCAAATATAAGCAAGTTTTTATGTAAGCCGAGACAATTTGTCTCATATATTTATTTCGTATTTTTCAAATTATGATTGAAAAATTACTTATAAGTTACTTCAATTGGGCCCATAATGTTTAAAGCCAGACTTTAGTTCAGCTTATCCGTTTTCTGCCTTGATTTCCGTCTCTTACCATTATTTTTTTTGGGTCTTAGTGTACTTTTGCTGGAAAATGGACATATTTAACCACTCCAGTTCTTGTTTGCCATAACCGTGTTGATTTTCTTCCCAACTAATGCTTCCCCCTCTTCTGTTTGACATTGTACGTATCGGACCCTTGGTTTCACAATGCAGATGCTTATAATAATAAATATTAACAAGCTTCCTAAATTTCCTCATTTCCCATATAGCATCTAAATTTATTTTTACGCAATGGAATTTATTACCGCGTTTCATACCATATCTAATGAGCTATTTGATATCTTTAAGGACCATCACTGAATTGTGGAATGAATTTTGATGAAATTCATATTCTGGTTCCTGGTTTGTCTGTTACTGTCACCTCCAATGAGTTCCCTGATCATTGAATTGAGTTATTTCAACTTTATGTGTTTTGATATCTATCATTAAATAATTCACGATTTTATTTAGGTATTTTGAATTTCACAATCACGTGTGCCACGCTTCGATGTTGCAAGCCATGGCTCTGGAGCTTCTTTACCATTGACATCAATCATAGCTACAACAGTCACCAACACTATTTGAGCTATCCATTATCATAAAATTTGTTCTTACGTAATATTCTGTCAATTTTATGCATTATTGATGTCATGTTAGGTATAAGTGTTATCTTTGTCTAAGGTACTCCTTGATATATTCCCATTCCTCACTCGGGTCAAAAGTTGCCAACTTCAGGATTTACTTGTACATCTCTTAGATGTCTTATATTTAAACAAATATTTTACTTCCAATGGAATGAATTATTCATTGGCTCTTGCAATGGGATAGTGCTGATATCTATTTGTGTCTACTATCTATTTGCCCAAGTAATTAGTTTTGGCAGAAAGCAAGATTAGCTTTCTATCCCATTAGAATGTCATCAGTTTGAGATTTCCTTCGTAGAGAACCGTAAGGAAAGGATGAATTTGTTTGTATGCAGATAGGGACCAAGAGCATAAACAGCAGAAAATACACAATAAAACAGCAAAAAGAAGACAGAAAGTGGAATATAATGCTCTGAATCTGATTAAACAATAATGATCTTCCTACTCGGTGGAAGATGGGAAGTTACAGGATAGTTCACACACTCAGCTCTTACAATGAGCCTGACATTCGAGGGGTCAGCTCTTTCCTCACAATGCTCTTCAAAATATGGCTTAGTTCCCCTGCTCAGAACACAACGGCAAATATCATCAAAAGCAAACAGCAGTCACCCAAAATACATTAACTTAGTACACAGACCTTAAAAAAAAAAAAACACTAGTGTGCGCTATTTTCTGCAAAAGGGTAGGAAATAGAAGTCAACTCCCTGGCTGGTCAGAAAGGATTATTGCCTTTTGCTTGCTTCTTCCTATGTTTCCTCTTATGGGCATTTTTAAAGAGGTCGACTGTATCACATGCACATTCTGTTGCTATGGTATTGATATCGCTTCAAAAAAAATTTTGGAGGGTACTTGCCAGGTGAATGATGGGTCCAGATTGCTGCTAATGCTTAAAAGTGAAAGTCTTGTCTCGTTCCTAAATTGAAGGAGTTTTGAAATACACAAAAGAGAGAAATTTTAGAAAATTCCTCGAAATCATTTGCTGTGACGAATGATGGAGATAAATGGAAGGCAGACTGCTTGATGATTAATATGTTGACAGGAAGATGACGTCCTAGGGGCATGGTGAGTCATCAGAATTCACAGCAATCTTGTGGGGAGACTCGCCTTTTATGAGAATTATTCTCTCATTATATCCTTCACTGCTGTAATCAGAAGGTTTGTTTCTCTCAGGCGAATTAAAAAGAGGTTATTTTTCTGTAGCTGCTATGTTAAGTAAAACGACTCCTTGCTGGAGTAAGCCTTGAGTTTCAGCAGATTCATTCGGGACACATAATGCTAAGTCTAACCTTGTACTTTTATCTTTTATTGTTAATACAATCTTGTTTGTTATCCAAAAAAGAAAAATGCTAACTTCAGTTGTCCAACTCTTCTTGTTATGATTATGATTATGATTATTTTGATTATTTCTAGACCTCCTACTCAGGTTCTCAAACGTCACTTTTTTTGTCGATGCCGTATAAATGCTTCATCAATCCGATAAATGAGGTATTCTTCCGAGCATGATTAGATATAATCCTATAATGTTTATGGGAAAAAAAAAAAAAAGATATAATCCTCTAATAAGATTTTGATATATAAGGTTACAAGTACCACGTCTCACATAAAATTAAATGAAAACCTGTCATGGCACTAATTCAAATACCAAGCATCATTTACCAATTTATCAGTAAAGAATTACACAACCCGTATTTCTTTTTAAATATCTTAACTAGATACAGATAAAACAAATGTCAAAACATGACAGTTACACAAGAAAGGGTGAAAAGTTAAAAAACATGACAGTCACACAAGAAAGGGTGAAAAGTTAAAAACTTGAAAGAAAGAACATTCACAATCTTAGGCTCAAAGTAACTTCGCTGACCAAATGGAAAAGAAAAAGTATGTAAAAAAGCATATAATAGTAAAGAAATATGATCAAATACACTATGTTTAGCTTCTCTCCAGGTGCTTCAGTCCTATCTTGACCAGGTGCACTCAGAAGTACTAGAATTTAACGTAGAACTTGTGAAAACAGCCCTTAAAGTTTGAGCCTCTATGGTTTGTTAAGGGCCACACACAAAGGTCCGCAAAGTGCTAGTACTTTGCATGCACCCGGAGATTATAGTACAGAACGCCCCTGAAGAGAAACTGAACTCTCTTTAATAATGTTTTCCGCGGTGATAGCCTTGGATATTTACAAGTGCTACACACACCTCATGATCATTCACAACAACATTGTTAAATTGTTTATCTGTTTAGAATCTCATCCACGCTTTGCCAAGAAATCATTTTTTGCACCATCCAAAGCAGCAACTCTGTAGAAGCCAAAGAGGGGTACAAAAAGAAGCTTCAGTTGACTAAGAAATAAGAACTAGTTACCAATATTCAAGTCCTAACAGAATTCAGGAATTGTCGTTAAGCTCATACCTGGACTCTGTCGTCATCAACTTTATTCCGGACAACATATGGTCTGTTTGGTGGGGTGCCTGGCGCATTTCCAGCCCCACCTTGTCTCTCCTCTCGCACCTTGTTGAAAATGTGTGTATATCCATCAGCTGATGCTGGATTACTCTCATCCCAATCACCAAACTTAGGAACGGCAGCACCTTTATCCGGCTGTCACATCAAGAATGAGAATATCATAATTAATTTCAACGACAGAATTCAAAGTGAAGAAAAGTACCCTAAAGACAGAGAAGTCAAATTTTTTAGAAATTTCCCACTGATCGATCATACTGATGTAACACAAATTAAGATAGTGTATGCTGCCATTTTGATGTCAGAGACTTCAAGGGATGTTTGATTCAATAGCTTGGTTCTTGAAAGATAATAACCTGTGAGTCCAACCGTTTCATATAATACATCAATGCAATTCCGCAATAACATCTAATAAGCTCATGTTCTAACTGTGTTGTTCATGTACCATACCAAAATTCTGCAATGTGCATTGTTAGTAACTTATTTCGTGGTCACCAACAAAGAGAACTTTCGGCAAATATCTGTATGTTCTGCCAGCATAATTATAAATCTAAACCCAATTGTCCAATGTTTTTTGTTGGTATGCATCCAGACGTACTGCTAACCATCAGATGGGCAACTTTGCTGACACAAGATTAACAGATCTCACAGCATGAATGCATCTTCAAGGACCAAAGTGGTAGTTTATTCTAAGATTTTTTTCTTCAAAAAATTATTTTCATGCAAGGCATAGTAATAAGCAGTAGAACATATAGAAAACTAACATTTTCATCGCGGTTAACCGGTCTTAGTCGGGATCTTCCTGGGGTACCATGGCTATTCTCGTAGGAGTTCCTTCCTTCCCAAGAGGGACTATCTCTGCCTGGGGTCCTTGCATGTCGATGAAGGGGTGAGCGTTCAAAGCTGTATTCAGACCCAGCACTTTGTCTTGTTGGTTTTCTACGGGTATCAGCAGATCCTCCTCCATGGCCTCCAGAACGAGCTGGAGAGCCAAAGGAATTATTTGGATTACTATCCATGCTCCTCTGTATATCAAGTGATGATTTTGCTGATCTCTTTCCAGCTGATTCCTTCAAATCAGCTCTGGGTTTTGAAGGATGTTGGTCAGCAGAAGATGAATTATGACGGACTAAATCAGGATTTTCCTCAGGATCATTTGGATTTGTCATCCTTGGGCCAGTTCGATCTTGCCGGGCCTTGTCAAAGAAGGCTGTATAAGGAACATCTTCATTTTCCCAATTGCCAAATTTTGGCACACGAGATCGTTGCTGTCAATTAACAAATTGAAAAGAGCCTGTTAAATATTGATCAATATAAGTTTCAAGTGCTAAAGAATGTCCTTTTACATATCTAGCTCATTGTCACTAGTAATGAAAACTTAGGAGACAAATAAAAAGAAAGGGAAAAAGACAATATTCCTCTTTATGCTTTCTTTTCAATGAGGATCATATTGAGGTGCACTTCAAGAATAGTAAATCAGCCTTCAAAATATAAAATGCTACTACTTTACTCCCAAAAAGAACTGGTGTTGCTGGAGACATCCAGATTTTACAAGAAAAAGTACAAGTAACTTCAACCATAGCCATATCAGTCAAAATATGATTTCATATTAGGTTTTACTAAAGAAACAGTGAAAAAACATAAATCAAAACCATTCATGGGCCTTCTAAGATTTTGTGATGACATGATGCTATCAAAGCCTTCGCAGCTCTTCAAGGAAGTATTTGGCTGCTCTTGGGAAGTCTCTAGCCTCTCTAATGTTATGGGAGTCTATTTTTATCATAATTTATCTTGGTCATTTCCGCATTTTCTTTTCCCTTGTAAACACTGTAAATATGTTTATTCCTATTCTTTTATCTGACTTGGGAGGTAGCTCAGTACCTTTATTGGTAAAGAAGGGCTTTCTGAAGTTTCATCACTTTCCTTCCTTCAATTAGACTAAATTTCAACACAGGGTATGACAGACTTGTGCTTTTGTCCAAGCTTCTAGTCCAAGATCTCTCGTTTGAGACGATGCGTTGTTTGCACTCATTCTCTGCTTTTATTTTTTATATGAATAATAGATAAGAAATCAGTTAGGAAGTTGCTTGGGTAGCTGGAGGTGTTTGGCTACCGTTATCTCAATATATACCAATATATCAAGGGGTGAGGAGGACATACGACTGTTACTGAAGCCAAGCAAACTAATTTCCATAAAGATATCAAAATTTTAGCATCCATCTGGGCAAACAAACAACAGACATATCACAACAACAAAATTTTCCCTCTCTACTATCTCAGCCATTGAACTGAATCCCCAACGAGTTATGTGTTAACATTGCTGAAAAAACTTAAAATAATCTATTCCCGATTGTGCATGAATCCAAACAAAGCAAGATTATATCAGTATATATATACAAAAATGCTTGTATAGATCACACCTGAAGAGATAATGCCTCGCTTGGCCCCCACTCTCATAGGTTGCAACTTGTTAAACTAACTAAATGCAATAACCAAATTGAAAGTTTCTCTCTCTATTGCTAAGCATTTAATATATTCAATCTCAGGATTGTTGTTCATTCAAGTAACCCCCTTTCTGGTTGTTATCAACAATACATGTTTCATCTAGGGAATTGTGTGTCATCAATTAGCTCATTTTTAACCATTTCCAATTTGATCTCTAAAAGTTATCCACTTTTCTGCTTCAGAATATTATACCCTACCAGCCATTCTAATAGAAAGACATCTAATTCTTGATATCTTCCTTCCATCATACTTTTTTACCTGCATCATCTGTTGTTAAGTCATTAGTATTTAAGGTCTTTTTAAATTCAAAACTCCAATCTATCTATTGGGAAACCAAATTCACTGAAAGGAAAAGGAGGGGAAAAGTTATTGGAACCAAGTTTGTGGTTTCCTACAAGCTTTGCAACAGATTACTGTTTTCATCTATCTTTCCACAGGTTACTCATTTAGTTCAATAAAATCCAAGGTGCCCTACTCCTAAGGAACAAAAAAGGATTGGATTCTCGAACTGCCTTACACTTTGTTTTTGGGCTTGCGGACAGGTCTCCTATTGGATGCAGTCATATTTGAGACATAGTTACACACTAGTTGAGATCACCTCTCTTAGCAAGGATTCGAACTTTAGCTGGCTACATTGTAAGGGACTAATCCTTTCCACTGGACATAAACCCCTCACACTTGAACTCAATAAGAGCCTTAGTATATCAAATCCAGTGTCTCGTCATATAAAGATCAATCTTTTGCAGTCCTCATGCAGAGCAATACAAAGTTCATGATTAATCCCATGAACTCATAAGTTGATCACAATTCAACATGACTTCAATAGCAACTTACATAATGCCATTAATACGTAGGGGAGAAATAAGAAAGGCCAAGGATTGACCCATCATATGGGGTGTGCCTGTCATGCCAAGGACAATTGGACTTAATTCTTACAGTGAGTAGAAAGTAAAAGGTTCTGTTAGCATGCAAACCCAAGGTAAAATAATTCATTCCACAGAGGAAGCCGCACAAGTAAACTGTTATCTGTGAGGATCAGCATTCTATCTTGATCCTCTCCTTCTACAAGGAGAGGGGAATTTTGTTAGGAGATCACGAATTACCATTAATCTCTGATGGGATAGCACTCACCTTGCCTATGAGGTCAGATTAGATTTCGAAAACCTCATATTCTCCCTGAGATTCAACAGTTTGTCACGAAGTACTTTGCCAACTACCAGCTTCCAAGGACTGAGTTATCTTCTTTCAATAATTAAATCCTATATTGATATGGTACCCTCAAAATAGAATAAAGAGACTACGACTGAGGAAGAAATATGTATTCTAAAGCAGTCTTTTACAGAATCTCTAAACATCATCACAGACTTAGGATGTACAAAGCCACACTGGGCATTTGATTCTTGGAGTTTGCTTGTCCAAATTGTCATGAAGCTATAATAAAGCATGACCACTTGATTTTATCTGGAATTCTTGATTCTAATTGCATGATGAAGCTAGAGCTTGTTCAGAACTTGTATTTAGTTTACAACTTTAGGGCATCGACAGGCAAAAGGTTTAGTCCAAAAACCTAATATTTTTCCTCTACATATACAAGTTTCTAACGGCAGTACATTGTGAATCATCCTTTGTAACAAATATGTAATTAAATTAGGTTTAGCAAATTTAATAGCTTATGATATGAAAAAACAAAGGAGTAGCCCATGATCTGAAGTTTCCATTTACTCAGTTATGACATCAGTTCATCAAACATTTGATTTAACACACGTTGGTCCTACTTTGTCCTACCCACCCATCGTTTATCTTATTTGAGTTGGCTACCGTTTTAATCACATTTGAAAGATGTTTTTTGTTGATATGCAGACCCATTTGAATATGCTCACACATTTTTGCAAATACATTCTCCCGCGAAGTGACGGACATAGCTTTATCAGCTTCTTAACAGACTAAACTAAGTTTGATTTGGACTTGATATATGAGTAAGGAAATACCGAAAAGAAAATGAAATAATCAAATTACGATTTCTGAGAAATTGGTAAATCCTAATGTTGTTGGAATCAGGAAAAGGCCCATAACTTATAATCGGGTTTATCATCACTTTTATACATGTATAACAGCTCTTAAACCAAATAATAGTATCTATTCTTAAATTAATATTGTTGCTACAGAAAAATTCAATTAACTAAAATATTCAGGAATTGAATTCCTAAAAAAAGTTAATCAGAATTGTATAATAAAGAAACAAAGCTGGATTCACAACGCCAAGTTACATGTTTCACACAACACGATTCATAAAACTAGTTGCCACATGCCAGAATCACAAAGAAAGCTACACTTGATAAGATTCTGATTGAACAACCTCATCAATTGAAAAAGCAAAAGCGAAGCTGCCGAGGTCAATTGACAATAAAAGAATTATAATTTGGGTCAACTTTATTAAAGCTTTTAGAAGATGACATTAATATCAGTGCAATTGTAGCACCGTTCCAGGAATGGAGAATTTTTCTACCCCCTTTTATTCTGTTACTTTCTCCTACAAAAACAGACTATATTAATTTCAGCATAGTTGTTTGCAAACTAATAGCTAGCCAATAAGAGATAGATAGATAGATAGATAGAGAGATTAGCTTATGACCACAAAATTTGTTTTCTCAGTTATGCTAATAGTCTCTCAGATCCTAGATCCAATGTACTTTTGTCCAAGGCAACTGTCATTCTTCTTTGTTTGGCAATCATTTTTATCTCACCTAGATGTTTTCTGATAGACAGAGCCTTATGGATATGTTCAGACACCTAGGGCCATTATAATGATATTTGAAAAGCAGGACCAGCCAGTTGAATTCAAAAACCAGTGACTAGTGCCTAGTCTGAACCAAAAGAAAACTAAAACCAGACTTGAAACAAACCAGTCAAAGACAAGTGAAACTTGTAAAGACCTGGTCTAAAAGACACAAACCTTTCAGGCTGTCAACTGTTTAAAGAGCCTAGCCCATACCTACATCTTTAGATGCCCCTCACCTTCCATGACGTAGGGCCCAGTCCTCTTTGTTTTCATTCATTTCAGGAACGTGGGACTAAGCAAATGCCACCTTTCTCAACGCTCCTTCCATTTCTTCCTTCTTCCTCCACCCTGCAACTTCTAATGCCCCCAACTAAATCTCTACTCTTTCTTTCTTCTCTCTACCCCCTCATCAGTTCTCTTCTTCCATCACTTTGTTTCAATGTCCCTACCTTTTCTTCCAGAATGGATCACACTAAACAAAAAGGCACTGGATTTGTGCCACCCAATGTTGAATATATAGATGGCACAAACAAGACTGCCACAGATTTCTTCACTCTTTTCTCAAACCAATCAATCAAACTGATCTCTCCTAAAAGACACCATCCATGTATATTCAGACTTAAGAATTACCACTCTTTTGTTGCTACATCTGCTTCCATCCATATAGTGAAATTCAGATGACAGTATATCTAGCTAATAAACGTAGATCTCTCTCAAATGTATGTCTGCTGCTTGGATACAAGGGATATATAGTTTGGAAGTGGGATGGATATGGAATGATTTGAGTATCTCAAAACTATTTTAGGTATTTAAAAAATGACTAAAGAACCTTGGGTTCAACATCACGGAAGCGTCTGGCCTGCTGCAAATGTCTAAATATTAAATGAAGAGCCTACTAGTGAGCATGGTAAAAACACTGCCTATCCATGAGTAACAACTGCGTAACTGAATGACCATTGAAAGAGAAGAGTTTGTTGAAGAGTGCTAAATATATGTACGCATGTGCGCGTGGGTGCAGCACAATCTTTAACTGCAGAAGCAATGACAGTAGTGTAAATGACCATAGAATCCACATTTCTTCCTTAAGGAATTTAGGATGATATATCAAGACAAGGTTTGTACTCAGATATAAAATTTTATATTTAATATTACGTACGAATATATTTTTTAAAAATATAATACCAACAAACAAAATCAAATATTAAACTTGCAATTTATCTTCATATTATTGTTTTTTATTTGAAATCAATTCTTCATAAATTTTTGTTATTGTTTTTTCATCTGTCTTATTAAAATTTGTTATTATATACTTAAAATATATTGGTTTAATTACAATTGGTTTGATCACAGTTCAGCCATTGAATCTTGAACTAATGTTTCAATGGAAGATTCCTTTTTCAATATTTTGAATGGTATTCTTCAGAATTTAAAATTTTGCAAGAAATGAGAAACAAAGGCTTCGCTATCTTGTTAATGAACTAAACTTGGCTCATTTTTCACTTGACACCAGAGGAAAGTAATACGAATATAGGTGAAATTTCTGTCTAAAGTTCATCAGAATTTCTAAAAGCCAAACTTCGCTGGAATCTGGACAGGGCTATTAATCTTGTGCACATGCTTTTCCCTTTTATACATAGAGCCAGTCTTAAATCAACAAGATATAGCCTTACCTTGTTATTGTTGCTAAAATATTTTACTGTTTCCCTAAAACATATAGCTCCATGCAAATAAAACCCATCTACCAACATAAATATAATCCTCAAATGACGCTTACTATGGCGTAACCATCACTAATTTAAACCTATGACATGTGAGAAGAATGAAATAGTCAGATAAGGCATCCCAGATACGTTACCAAGCAGTACAAATGCATATGGCGTTACAGGAAATTTTGGCGTGAACAGTAAATCACATCGAAGTGGGACGTCTGACCCAACATTCACAAACCTACGAGTAGAGCATAAGAACAGACTCTTGCAGCTCACCTAGCTCCTTGCTTCGGTATTAATTCGAGACATCCACAAAACAGAATTTTCAATTTTGTCGGTTTTTTCCCCTATTAAATTCGGAATCTCATGAAAAGGAAACCAACCTGGATTCACAGACATGGTTACCAAAACTAGCTGCACATCTCAGAATCACCAAGAAACCTCCACTTGGTAAGATTCTAATGGAATAACCTCAATGACTTGCGAGGCCAAAACAAAGCTGCCTTGGTCGATATGGCGGTTAAAATATTTCGTTTTGGTCAACTGTATCAAAACTTTTCGGAGATGAATGAAAAAAGAAAGATGGACAGTGAAAGGAGAAAAAAGGACCGTTGCTTAACTTGGCTAGAAAAGCAACATTACGCAGGAGATTCAGACTCGGAATCCCTGAAACTTTTCTCAAATATCTTAGCAAGTACAGAGTTATAATAAAAGCACGGGCAAAAGATGGAAATAGATAAGAGAAACAAGAAGATTTTAAACAGAGGGAAAAGAACTTACCGCCATTTATTTCTAAGCCAAGCTTGGAAAGAAACCACAGAAACAGCAGAGACGAGAATTCTTCGAGAAAATTCAGCTTTTTGGATCAGACCCAGGAAGCTCCCTTACAGAATTCGAAGACCCAGCAAGAGAGAAAGAGAAAGAGAGAGGGGGGGTTTATCAACCATTGACCTGTGCTATCGCCAATGTTTGACCATTCTACTTCATTTCTTTCCTTCGTTTGCCTCTCTGTAAATTCTTCTGACTTTCAATTCAAAATTATGCGTCTGAAAAAATAAAAATGGTATTTTCTTTTGGCTCGTTCCAAAGAACCCAAATGTTTTGACTTTCCAAACGGCTGCTATTGGCATGGAACAAGCAAAATTACGTGGCGAAGCAAGACCAAGTCCCACCTGAGCTGGGTATCGGTCGTTTGGTTGCTGGAAATTTGGGTCCCGTAGGTAAGATAAACGACGTCGCATATAAAAAATTACGTACTCGCATCTGTAATTCAAGTCACTTAAACTAATTTATTAAACCGGTGTCAAATTATTTTTTTTGGAAATTTGGTTTTAAAAAAAATTTCTGTTTGAAAACTTATTTGGCAACTATGATCCATGAATGTAACTTTCTTTTTGTTGTGTGCAACATATCTTTTGCTATGTGCAAATGACTTTCATACTGATAATTATTATATATCATTGATGATATGTTACACACAGTTAAAAAAAAAGTTACACTCATAAATCATAGTTGCGCATTTGCACTCATTCAAATTTTGCTTCTTTTAGCTAATTGAGTTTTTAAACAAGGGCTTTTAACTATTTTTTTTTAAACGTTACTCACATGAAATGAGATTGTGAATGAGAGAGAAAAATAAAGTCACATTGAAGTATTAATTACAAGAGCAAAATTAATAAATAAGTATTAATTACTTTCCAAGCGACTTATATCATGAGCCAATAAATTTTTATAGAAGCGACTTATACTGATGAAATATTATGAATATTGATTCTCCATATCATTATTAATAATGACTTAATTAGGTTGAAGTGAAAGATGTTTTAATTTGTTCATTAAGAAAGTGATCAAAGATTTGATTCTTAAATATTTTTGCCAAAAAAATACAATCTTTTAATTCTTACTAGATTTGTAGCAAAGATAGTTGGAAGAGGACAGTCTTTTATTCTCTATATTCTAAGCCAAAATAAGTTTCTATTATATAAAATGATTTTCCTTTTTTTTTAATTAAAAGGAAAATTTATTAAAAGATAAAAAGATACATATAAAAAAGTCTACCCATCACAAAAAGATTATTTGAGCATAGTCCAATTAATCAGTAGACAAAAACCAGCCTAATATAAACTAAAAGTAAACAAAAGCCTGAGACTGAAACTCAACAAACTCATGAGATATAAAACATAGTCATATTTATAAGTCATTAAAAATGGGTCTCACTTTGAAAGAAATTGTTAGCTTGCGCTATGGTTAACATAAAATTTGAAGTCATTGTATTAATTACAAGCTTTAACAATAACAATCCCGCTTAAAGTAAGAGCACATGGGAGTGGGACCCTTTTCTTTGCTTTCTTTTGGCGAAAACATTGGACCATTTGGCTCCTTACAAAAACAGATATTTTTTTTTATGTATTTATCGTTAAGTTCTTCGATGGAAATAACATATGAATGAAATATTTAATTGTATAAATACTATTTAAATATATAAACGTAGAGACAAAATCAATAAGTACATTTCTATATTAAATTTGCCTTAAGTTTCATGTAAATTATATAGTAAAATATGTAATCTAGTACTTATTCACAATTTATAGTAAATTATATTATTCAAAGTTAAATAGTTCAAAGTATTTCTTAAATTCCTGCCATATGTAGAAAGTTCACCTAATAATTAAAAACTATATATATTTTTTTTGCCATCAATAATAAAGAAATATTTGATTTTTTTTTTGACCAGCACATATTTGATTGTTATATGCACGAATGAAGAAGTAGTTGTACGGAATTGAATTTTTTTTTTTTTAAAAAAAAGTCTTCTATTGGCACTATCTAGGTGTACAGAAATTAAAATACTCCTATAATTTGGGTAGGTATGATTTTAATATTAATAAAAAGATATAGGACATTTTGCATTTATATTACTCTGATTGAACGATAGCGGATAAACGGACAACCGGAGAGACGGCGTTAATTTAAAATTTTGGGGACGGCAGCAAAAATCAAATCATAAAACATAAATAAATTGAAACCTGTGGTCAAAAAAAAAAATCAGAGAGTAAAACATTAAAATCGGGGGTATCAATTAAATATTTCTATATGGACAAATCCTCATCTTAATTTTTTTACTCATAATTTTGTGAATAATTTATTTTAAATTGAAGTTAAGAGGGAAAAATTAGAAATAAATCCGATTTTAATTGACAAATAAGACCTAAAGACTTTATATAACTTTACTTTTGTTGTATGCAATTTAATTTTCTTTATGTGTAATTTATCTTCTCTTATATATAGTAATCTTTTTTTGTGTAATGTGTATCTCGATTTCTTTTTGTGCAAATAAAAAAATTTTGTATGTAAATTATCTTCTTTATGTGTAAACTAATTCGTTATGTAAATAATATTTTATGCAAATTATCTTTTTTTATGTGTAACTAATTTTCTTTTATGTAATCAATCATTTTAGATTTTGTTTGTTAATTAAATTTTTAATGAGAGATTTATTCCCACTTTTCTCAAATAAGAATATGGAAAATTTTGGATGGCCTTTTTTTGGCCCAAAAATTGGGACCGCGATACAGTTAGTGGCGGCGGTCATAAATGGGGACTCGTGTTGTGTCGGCAAATGAAATAGTTTTTGTTGGGTCGCCGTCCTTTTTTAAAAAAAAATTAATACATGTTTATTATAAATTATTTTTAAAAAAATTCATGAAAACTAATAATTATTTATTATAAATAAATAATTCAATTAATTTTTTAATATGGCTCTAAAAAATAATTCCTAATATCCATAAATTAATTACTTATTTTTTAGTATATTAAGGATCAAATGTCCTATCCTACCATTCTATCCTCTCGTAGCATTTGAATTTCCTTTCTTTCCATTATTTCTACCTCTCATCCTTAAGACCTAAAAAAAGTAATTTGACTAATTTATTAATATTCACAAATTAATTATTTTTTGGTAACTATCCACAAAATAATTATTTAGCTCTAATATTAAAAATAAGTATTGCTATTGTGTCCTCTCATGGTATTTGTATTCTAATTCTTTTCATTGACATTATCTTTGGTTCTCAATATAAAATCTACTACTTACGGTCCTAATTATAAGAGTCAGTTGATTAATTTGAGGAGATTAAGAAAAAAATTAAGTTAGTTATTTGTAATAAATATGTGTTGTCTTTTCTAAAATATCCTTGTTAATCAAGTGTATTGGCTAGAACTACCATTATTAGAAGAATTACCTTAAAAAAATACATAAATATGAGAGATAAAGTGGATTGGGATCTTATATTTAGAACCAAAATAAAAGTATTTACTAATTTAAATAGATTAATGAAATTAAATGACTTATTGGGTAAATATGCATTAAATACCTTAATTTTATCTCTTACATATATCCAGCAACCTAATCTTTTTAGTGGTGCAATTTTACTTATAATCTGATAAATTTTGTGCAATCTCAGCCATTTTTTTATTTTTTATGTAATTATAATTTGGTTACTTTTTCTAATGAAATTTGTTAATAATTTGATAAAAGGATCTAAAATTATTAATTTTAACTATTAAGATAAGATGACTAAAAAGAAAAAGTTGATTTTGAGTAAATAAAGAAAGGGTAAGAATGTTTCAAATTTAAAAAGATCATGAGTAAAATTATATTACTAAAACAATTAGGGTCTTGAATGCTTATGAAAAATAAGATTCGAATGTTGGGTGCAGCTTTACCCTTAGTTATTTGATATAATATGTTTTAATTTTTTTAAAATATCCTTTTAAAATTATTTACATTGAAACTACCATTTGATACAAGATCCTTTAATATGTATGATTAATAAAAATAGTATAAAAAAATTATAAGGAACAAAATGGATTGAGCTCAACTCCCAATTAATTCTTATGCTAGGAAGCAAATGTAATATTTCTTTCTTTAATTATTTTTCTTAATTTAAATATATGTCATATTTCAAATTTTGAAGTGCAAATATTATGTATTTTTAATGATACTCCCACGAGATAAAAGATATTAATTAGAGGTAGTTAAGACTTCAAAGAGTTTAAAATTAAATGAAGGGCAACATTAAAAAGAATAATTTGAATATAGTACATATATTTTGAGCTTTTGTGTGTGTGTGTTTTTTCTTATAAAAATAAGTAAATAAGATAATCTTTTATTATCTGTGTAAAATAAATTTTTGAAGAGCTTGGTGTTCCTAAATAATAGTAATACTCTATAAAATAATTTACAAAATTCTCGGAGTAATTAATCTTTATTTAAAAATAATTTTAAAAATAAAAAATTATTTTTAAAAAATAATTACTCACCTTGGAGTAAAATTAAGAAAATAATAAGAGCATTAATTGACGGTAAAAGTAGGAAAATGAACAAAATTTTAAGATATTTGGCCAAGAAAACAAAATTTTAAGATATAAGTTACTTTTTTTAATGAAAAGAAAAATTTATTTGTGCAAAAGGAAAGATAAAATTATACATGAATTAAATTGGCTTCACATTAGAGAGGGATATGAAACAACTACTAAAGTCCCCTTTATAAATCACAGAAGAAAAAAACCTCATAAACACAAAAAGCCTATACATCAAAGACATAAGTTAATTAAAATTATTGTTTTATTAATACGTACTCTTCCAGTTCTTAGTATAAACCCTATTTAACTAATTTAATTATATTAAGGAAGTTAGGTAAGTTAGTTACTTATAAAAAATATGACATGTTTTTCCTAAAATATTATAATTATCTTCTTTAATATCCTCTCCCCCCTTCTATTTGATTATGGTTGAGGGAGTATCCATATGAGTAATTTAGAAAAACTTGATAAATATAAAAAATAGGTCTTATATTTAGGACCAAAATCAACTCAATAATTAGGTCCTATATTAAGGACCGGAGGAGTATAAGTTAGGTGATTTAGTCTTATAAAAAAATTGAGGAATATTTTTCTTATTCCTCCTCTATTAAATGATCAATTTTATATTT